TCGCTTCAGTTCCCCTGAGCAAAATAACTGACATCAGTAACTGTCAGTTGGTTCATACAACTGCATCTAGACACAAAGGGCTTCTGCTAAAAAAAACTCTTCTGGTTGAGTCCCACCTCATCAAATCCTGACAGACATAGCTATATTGGTGGAAACCTGCAGCATAAGCCAGGACTTACCTACACAGAATACTTCACTGTTGTAAAGATACTGGCATAGTTAAACCCAGATGGCTCTATTTATACGAGTTATGGTAGAGTTATAAGCCCTAAGTAGTTTAATGACTATAGAGAAGATAATAACACAGGGCCTGGGTAGTACTGGGATTCGGGGGGCAGTGCATGCATCTTCAGGAGGCTTCAAATGCCTCTACAATAATGCTTGCAGTATGGGGAACAAGCAGGAGGGACTTGCCCTCCTGCTAGCTAACACCAACCCAGATACAGTGGGGCTCACCAAAATGTGGTGGGACCCAACGCATGACTGGGCAGCAAACATCAAGGGCTATAGGCTGTACAGGAGAGATAGGATAGGGAGGAACATTGGGGGTGTGGGCTCTATGTCAAGGAGCAATACACATCCTCAATGAGCAGCACTGGGTCAGAGGAGGTGGCAGACCGAAGTGCTCTGGGTTAGAATACAAGGAGGTCAGGGAGAAAGGGACTTAACGGTGGGGGTCTACTACAGACCACCCAACCAAGGAGAAGAGCTAAACCAGGAATTCTTAAGTCAGCTCACAGAGGCAGTTAGGTCAAAGGATGTGGTCATCATGGGCGACCTAAACTTTCCCATCTGCTGGGAGGAGCAGTCACCATACCTACAGGCTGGGGAACTCCCTTCTCGTCAGTGCCAAGGCAGAAAAGGATCTTGGAGTCATCACTGATGCCAAGATGAACGTGAGCCAGCAGTGTGGGGATGCAGTCAGGAAGGCCAACCGCACCTTGTCATGCATCCACAGATGTATCTCAAGCAGGTCCAAGGAGGTGATACTCCCCCTCTATGCGGCACTGGTCAGGCCACAGTTGGACTACTGTGTCCAGTTCTGGGCGCCGCACTTCAGGAGGGACGTGGACAGTATGGAGAGGGTCCAGAGGAGGGCCACTCACATGATCGGGGGCAGCAGGGCAGGCCTTATGAGGAGAGGCTACGGGACCTGAACCTGTTCAGCCTCCACAAGAGAAGGCAGGGAGGGATCTAGTGGCCATTTACAAACTAGTCAGGGGGGGACCAGCAGGCATTGGGGGAGTCCCTGTTCCCCTGAGCACTGCCAGGAGTGACAAGAAATAGCAGTCACAAGCTGGCAGGGGGTAGATTCAGGCTAGACATCAGGAGATACTACTTCACTGTCAGGACAGCTAGGATCTGGAACCAACTTCCAAGAGAAGTGGTGCTGGCTCCTACCCTGGGGGTCTTTAAGAGGAGGCTGGATGAACACCTGGCCGGGGTCATTTGACCCCAGTACTCTTTCCTGCCATGGCAGGGGGTCGGACTTGATCTGCTTAGGTCCCTTCTGACCCTACCAACTGTGAAACTATATGTAGTGCTATCTGGTCATGCTTATACTGGTTTAACTATACCAATACAACTATGCTGTCAGAATTCCTCACCGAGACAAATTTTATCAGGTAGCTTCCCTGACAGTGTCGTTTGTTTTGTTTTCTTTTTTTGTTGTTGTCTGTCTTTCCAGGTGCAAGCATCCAGGTGAACTCTGACCTCATTATCTTAATAGCAACAAGGCAAAGAGGGAAGAAGTGAGCAAGCAAGCAAGCAAACAGATCCAAAAATCTACTTGAAAATGGTAAATCCAGAAAAAAGATCTCCTCTCAGAGCATGAATGCAAAATAAAATCTACCTGGAGCTTCAGAATCACAGTTTTCAAATACTGAACCAAAATGAGAGCACTCCTGCAGCTGGCTATTCTTGAGCTGTGGTGAAGAAGTTCCAATCCATCCATGGGGTTGGCCCCATCTGTACTCTAAACACTTGGCCTTAGCCTGAAGCAGAATGCTTTATGGCTAAGTTCAGACAGTCAAAAAGCTGGAGGCTGAATCAATTCAATGTTCACAGGTTAGTCTAAGCTGCATAGATTGAACTGATGAGCAAGTGAACAGACATTAACTTTTGATTCTGGAAATGCAGCCGCATGCCTACAGTGGCTCAAGCCAGAAAGCAGTTTATGTGCACTGAACTTCTGTTGTGTCACAGATTTGAACTGGTGTCCGATCACTTATACCAGTTTATATGTAACTTCTGTCTCAAGCCCATGTGTCTGCATAGTGCCTAAGAGGAATGGCCATCCTCAGTGCTGCCTCAATACAAATAATAAAAAATAATAATTTAGGGACTCTGGGATATTTCCTTGCTATAGAAACCAACTCAGGTTGTCAAGCACACAGTCTCAGCTAGTGCTGAAAACAGCTGTCCTGCCGATGCAGACAACACCAACTTGACATTCCTCCAACAGCATGGGCAGCCCCTTCCCTTTGATAGCTATCGAGCACACTTGCTGCACTAGGTGTTGAACATATGTTGGCCCCTTCTGTGCCAAAGACTGAACTGCTGGGCGGACCTGAACAGCAGCGTGTGTTTGACAACACAACATTAAAACCTGCTGAATCTAGGGTGCAGACTCTAATGGTGAGAATCTTGTGTACCCTGTGCTCAGAGGCCGTATACAGAGGTTGGCTCAGCTCTGCTGGCAACTTTAGCCAGCATAACAATATCAGGGAGGGGCACGGATCTTTTCTAATATTTCCATACCAGGTAAAGGCCTTGTGTAGACACAGTTATAGTGGCATTGGCCAGTAGAGATTATTTCATTTTGGAAACTGGTAGAACTGTTGCCACCCCTTCTGCAGCAAATGCTCTGGAAGAGGAACCATACAAGAAGCTGTCTTGCATTGTGGTGTATTTTGTGGGCCTCTCTCTGATGGAGGATAAAGAGTTTCGTGCCCTAAACACACTTCCCTGACTCCCTTAGGTCTTAGTGATGTCTTTAATAAGGTGCTTATGTCACATGGATGGATGTTTTCTAGTCTAATACATTCAAATGAGCATGAAGCACGTACCACATTTCCAAGAGGCATCAGTGATGCTTTCCTATGCATCTGTATCTACCTCTGTTTGTTTGTTAACCCTTCACCTACCTCTGTCTGTTTGTTTGTTACAAGCCTTTGCCACAAATTCCCAGGCTCTGGGAACACTCTTGCTCCTCTGCACACACTCAGAACTCTGACTCACCACTTACCCAACACATTCCTGGGAAGTTTGCAACATCCACAGATGCCTCACAAACACTGCTCCCCAACTCTCATCATTATAGCAACACCCGGCATTGGCATTGGGCATTGCAGGAACCCCCCTGAGGCTTTCCATAAGCCATTTGTTGTGCAGTGTTGCTAATGCTATCAGGCACTTCTGTTTGACTGCACGCTTTGGGGGCTTGGAACATGCCCCAAGGTATATCATTAACAGAGATTGGACTCAGAGGTGCATTGCAAAGCACCAGGGGAAGATGGAGGAGAAAGGGAACACATTCAAACCTTTCATGTCTGCACTTTTAGGCTTTTATATAATTTTTTAATGAAAACATGAGGAAATAAGGAATAACCAAACACTACCTATGACTGACTGCACACACAAGGGGTTCTCTTAGAATGCATATCACAAGAATGACTTGGGTCTCCCTTTGAGCCTTTCCACTGACTCTTTGCATTCCTGGGCATCCCCTTTAACTTCTCTTGCTGCATCTGCACTAGCCTCTCTTCTCTAAAGTCTCTGTTGCACTTAAAATGGGGTTTTAAACCTAGTGCTTTAAGAATTGACACAACACTTGGTTGATTAATAGTGGAAAGGCTTGCTTTAATAACTACCAACAGCTACAAAACTAAATGACAGAAAAGACTCTTTCCCAATATAAAATGATCTATTACAAAAAGTCCCAGCACATATTTAGCTGCAGTAGTGTTCTCTCTCCAATGCAGGCAGAGGAAGCTAGTCCAGTCTAGCAGCCTTCACCGAACAGGATCCTTTGCTGGTTAAGCTGTGTGCAGTATGTCTTCTTGATCATTCATGGACTGCACACCTTGCTTGCAGTTTTGTCTTGCTGTACACTGTTTAATTGTATAGATTCAAAGCATTTTTCATTCATGGTTGGCTGATTAGAGTCTGAACAAAACAGGAAGGAAGAGGGTGACCATCATATTACAATTGTTAAATTGCCTGGTTCATATTTTTGGATTTGTTTAGGTGTGAAGACTTGTGTTTCTCACAGCCACTGACTAGCTCAGCAATTAAATGTGATGGGCCTTGATTGGTCAAAGAGGATATCTAGAGGCGCTGGTTACAGGACTTATCTTTGGGTATCTGTTTATCAGTGGGGCAAATTTACAATAGCTTGTACCAGTGATGGTCTATTTACAAAACTCCAGACATACATTGAATGACTGAGACATTTGTAACACCTTAAACATTGAATGCCTGTTTTAAGAAATGTGAAGATGTCCCATACAGGACATCTTTCCTGTATACAATGCACCTTTTACAGGTTTTGCTTGAAATGTATATTTAGTCTTTTGTCTTTTTTAGTTGCTAGTTCAGTTGAACTGTATATGTAGTTTCCTTGCCTTCTTTAATTACACTGGCTCAGCCTTTTTCTCTAGCTTTCCTAACTTGGAGATATACATGTGATGAGTGTGTCAGGTCTCTGCCAGCAATTTTCTTTTTAGGGGACCCATGTCTCCTATTATTTTATGGCATGGGTCTGATATTGGGTACTGCAAGCTCCTTTCTCTCTTATGCCTAATGGTTTGCAAGCCATTAGTGGAGTTTGATATTTTTTGTGTCAGGCTTGTTACCACAACCCAGTCTTGCCCCAGCCACTGTCTTGCATTTTTGTGCAAGAGATGCTGTCTAAGCTTCCATAGCTTTCATAGCCACCAGTCTCCTAATGTTGCTGCTATTGAGTGTGCTAAATTGATGCTCATAACAGTGAGAGCCCACATGGAAGAGGGAGTTGAAGGAGCCAGGACTGCCACAATATATCTGCAAAAACCTAAATCAACAGCAACATGGGTTCTGATTCTTCAGTCAGCTTTTCTTCTGTAAGCCCACAGCATCCCCATCTGAGGGCTTCTCTGACAGGGGTGGCCTCTCTGTGGAGTATCTGTTAGGTCCTTTCCACGTTAGTGGAATAGATTGTCCGGAGGATGTAGCTCACTGGAGAGAAAGATTCCTATGTTTAAGATGCTAGGTCAAAGCTTAGCTAGGCTGGCATTGGGTAATGTTAACCAATTCTGGACTTCTCTGATATGGCTTCTGTCCAGTGAGTTGGCATCTCTTAGTATGTTTCCCAGTGTATGAACATCTGAAGTATAACTATCACCATCATGAACATCCTTCCTTGGCCCCCTAATTGGTGGTATTAGCAGAGTGACCAAGAAGGGACATGAAGAGTGAATTCTGTGAAGGCCAGGGCTGAGGTATACTAATTGTCAGGGACTCTGATCAGGCAGGCCAGCTTGGGACAAGTATCTCAGCAGCCACACCTGTAGTAAGCCTTAGCCAATGAACTCTGCCCCAGTTTAGGAAAGCCAAGCATCTTGATTGGATGTTGGGAGCACCGCTTAACCACTTAGCATCAGACGGGGCCCTGAGTTTGCGCCAGTCAAAGTTCTACTGTAGCAAGCCTCGTGGACTAAGTACAGACAGTCAAAAAGCCTGAGGCTGAATTGATTCGGTGTTTGCAGGTTAGTCTAAACTGCAAAGATTGAACCAATAAACAAATGAACAGACATTCACTTTTGATTCAGGAAATCCAGCCACATGCCTGCAGTGGCTCAAACCAGAAGCTGGGGAGCACTAGAACACAGTTCTCTGGCACGTAGCCATCATGGGCTGTGTGTTCGCTTTCTCTTCCTGCTGCCCCTGAGGTCTTTGGAATTTGCAGTCCACAATCACAGCAGCAGGACTCTACAAGTTGCTCATCACTTCCTTTTCCTGCTTCTACGTGTCTCTGGGATTTGTAGTCCACAGTCATGGCCAGCACTAAGCAAGCAGGGCAGGGCAGCTCTGTACTCAGGGGAAGGGAAGGTTAACCCCCTTCCCTGGCCCCAGGGTTTGCCCGGGGGGGGGGGGGGGGG